CAAAAGCTATTTCTCTTCTGGGATCCATACAGGTGGCATTTTAAAATGTAGCGAGCACCCTAGTCTGCAGAACCTGCTTGTCACAGAAAATGACACAGTTTGCATGTGACCTGTAATGACAGTTGCTAGTTGAAAAGAAACCAGAAATTCAGCTCTATCTTCCACACTTTGGTTGCAGCTGCCATCAACTAAATCTCTCTCCAAGGGCAGATGGTGCCCTGTACAATGAACAATTTAATCTTTAGCAAATAGAGAAACTTTGCCAAAAAATCCGCATTTTTTCCCCTCCAAGAATAGGCTGTCAATAACATGTGCTCTCAAATACATTGTGATTTGATGACTGTATTTTATTTATAGGAAAGCAGAAAACAAAAACATAAATGTTCTCTCTCTGTTTTCCCTTCCCAAGGCCGTGGTCTTCCTGGTACCCCCACATGGAGTTGGTCTGTGTGCACAGGAGTTAGTTCCATGTCAGGGTGCTGCTCTGTACCCATCCAGTTCCTGTGTGCTCCTCTTTGCTGCTCAACACGTGTGTACCTCATGTCATCTTGAGGACTGAGGTGAGCTCAGGGTACAACCCTGCTCTCTCTCAGCACAAGTAGCAAAAACCTCACGCTTTCCCCAAGGCCAGGGTTTCCCTGCACATCTGTGAAAACCTGGGGACCTTTTGGGGGATGCATCTCACTGAGACTCCCAGATCCTCTCCCAGCACTTTGCAGAGCCTGTCCACCTGGGAGGGCTCAGGCTGACAGATGTCAGCACTCCCAGTGCTGTTCAGGTGGATTTAGAGGATCTGGCTGTATTTGCTCAGGGATGTCTGCAAACCCCAGGCATTGCTGCGCACTCAGTGGCTCCAACAGCGCTCCTTCTTGTCTGGAGATATGTATACACTCTCCCATTTCAAAGTATATCCTTTTATATTACTACATAGAATATAATGTGTATGCAGAGGAGTTCACACATCTCTCTGAGGTCCCAGGTGGCATCAGTGGTTCACATGCGCACACAGCCCCACATGGCAGCATTTCCGAGCCCCATGCAGTGCTTGCAGGGTGGCTTCCATCCCTGCACTCACTGCACGGTGCTCCCTGCACATTGCCATGTGCTTAACAGTTTTCCTCAACCTGGGTCACAGCTGAGGAACTGAAGGCATACAAAGCTACCTGCACAGACATCAGAAACTTCTCAAATGAAAAACCTTGGAAAATGCCAGAGTTTTCTTTTGTCAGATTTCGGTGAGATTTGGCTCTCACCCCCACACCGCTGGGCCAGCCCAGCTGGGTCGGTCACACTGCTGCTCTGACATTCTGCAGGGAGGTGCTCTGCAACAGCTGCAGATAGGAGCTCTGATCATCTCAGGGCTACTGAACTCTGGAGGTCTCTTTCTGGCGTTCAGCTCTCAGCAAAGTACCTTCAGCAGAGAGTTTTCTGAGACAAATACAGCTCAGTGGCCTCTGGTTTTTATTAAATGCATTTTCCACCATCCCAGGCAATCTCTAACCCCCAGCACCTGGTGTTGTTCTGTACTCTGCAGACACACCCCGGGAACATCTGAGCTGGAGCCAGCATTGCTTTCCCACTGTCTTGTCCCGCATTCTCACAAGCTGAGCTCAGGGGCCAGCATCACAACGTATAGCAGTGCACTGTGCAGGGACAGGAGTGCCCAGGGCCCTGCAGTGAGCACGGTGGGCTGTGCTGGCAGCTGGCTGCTCCTCCTTGCACAGCACGGGGGCAGCTGCTCCATGCTGGCAGCACCTGGGCTCTGCGCTGCGCCCTGTGAGAACAAAGAAGCACCAGGATTAGGATTCACAAGGGTTCTCCTTACCTCTCCCAAAATGCTCTCCTTTCCGAATAGAATGCGTTTGCTGAAATGAATATGTTCTATTTATTTATTTAATGTGCTGTTAAATGACCTTCTGGAAAGCTGTTCCTGCTGCAAGGCTTTAAAATGGATGGGCAGGCACAACTTAGAGAGCATGCTCTTTACAATCAGGATGAATCATTTGAGTAGTTACTGTTTAGACTGATATAATTTTAGTTATAATTATGGGTAACGAGAAAGCATTTAGAGCCTGTAATATTGTAATTCATGGTGGGAGAGGTCCTAAATGAAATCAAATACACCCAGATTCACTTTTTCTCCCTCTCTCGTTATTGTGAACATGAGGATGATTCTTTAAGGAATAGATTTTCTGCTGCTGTAAAAATCTAGCAAAAGTAGGTCAGAAATAACATCTAGAGATAACGTGTTTGGTAACCACAAAGGGACTGTGTGTGTCTTTCTCTTTGGCCTTTTTAGGAGTCCAACAGTTTATTACTGCTGGGACAGCTGCAGCAGGAAAAGGGTTTGAGCCATAGGCTCCCATGGACTTTGGTGGGTGGATCACAGATTATTTATACACACATTGTCATTTCATATATCCCTCTAAACCAACACAGGATGATAAGATGCTATTAGCAAAGATCTGGAAATTAACAAATAATAAAATATTTATATATATGTGTTGATGGCTTGGTAATTATTATTAAAGAAAAGCTAAACTTCAATATCTCCATCCGATATTTAGCCTGTGCTGCACAAGACTGGCATAATGAAGTCCCTCTATCACATTTTCACACTGTAATTTCAGTGATAGAGTTTTCTCACGGTGTTGAACTGCATTACACAAAATGCCCAGGAAGCAACAAACTTTGTGCATCGAGTGCTGTTTGAGCGCCAGCCCGCGGTGCCCCACAGTGCGGGTGACAAACTCCCCGCATACTGCCTGAATCTCTGAGACACTTGATAATGAAATACACAAACTATGACCCTTATCGATTAGGGCTCGCACTAATTAATTTCTCAAAGTCCCATCCCAGCCTGCAGTGACATCAATGCAAAAAAAAAAAAAAAAAAAAAAAAAAGAGAAAAGAGAAAAGAAACAAAACCAAGGATGGAGACCTGGGTTGGGCAAAAGACCAAAGGGTGGAACAGTTATCCCACTGAAATCAGTGCCCACTCCCCGTCAATTTTAGTCACGCATGGACGTTGCCATCAGTCAGGTGCACAGAAGCCACCAAGTTCCTACAAGAGCTGCAGGTGGCTGTGAGAGCAGCACTGAGGCACAGCAGCCCGTGTGCAGGCAGTACACACTGCCCTGTGTTAGCTCTTGGACAGCAGGACCCACTGGATGCTCTGCATGCCCCATCCATGGGCCGTGCCATCCCAGCCCTGCACTGCGAGCAAGCTGATTGTACAGCAGGTCTGACCCCAGAGCCTCAGGACCTTCCTCTGGACAAACTGAAGAGCAGAGGCAGCAGGAGGCAGGCTGTTCAGTTTTCCAATCAAAGCTCTTGATAAATATTTCCCACTGGCAGGGAGCCATCGTGCTGCAGTTACTTTGCTTCAAACCAAGTCTCCTTCCCACACGAGCACTTTCACTATTACTACATGCTGCTTAATTGTCCTAACGACGTTCCAGAGGCAGAACAGAATTAACCAGCAGTTACTGCTCGCACACAGCTCTGGTTCAGCACGGCCCTCACATCACTGTGCAGGACCAGCCCACAGTTTGTGCTGCAGCCCGGGACAGGAGCTGGGCGCCGTGTTATGGCAGTGTTCCTTCATGCCATGGGCTGCAAAACCCACTTGGAAAGGTAAAAAGTCAAATGCCTGTGGCACCTCTGCAGGCTGCGCTCAGAGCCTTGCGCAGTGCAAGTCATGACTTTGCTAAGTGTGAACACTCTGGAGCGTTACCTCTGAAACCTACTGGCAGCATTTTAAAGCAGCAGCACGCACTGCTTTTGGTGTGTGTAAGAGGGAATAATGATCTGAGGTATTCAGCTTCAAATGGACTTCCGTGAATTCTCAGGTGCCCAAAATCTCAAATTTAGCTGCCAACGCCTCTTCTTTCCTTCCAGTTTCTCCACTGAAGATCTGGGTTGCCAGTGCAAAACAGCATCTCTGTGAGAACTGAAGGTGTAAGGATATTGTGAGACAAACCAAATTATTAACTAATTAGCATGGACTCAATGGATTTTTTTCGTTTTCACCTGGAATTTTTTTGTAAAGCTCAGTTTGTTTTACTTACATAAAAGCTGCTACTGAATTTCCAGTTGATTTAGCTGGAATACATGGAACGCACCTCAGGATTTGAGTTGTGTCTGCTGAAGTGTGCACGCCCTTGAACAGATATATTTTTCAGTGACATATTTCTCTTTGCCCGCTACTGGTCTGTTTTTTTCTTTCTTGTGCTCTCTCTCCAGATTGACTTTCACTCCACTTATTGCTTGCCTCATTTCTCACCCTATTTTTCCTTCTTTTTTTTTTTTCCCTACTGCTTTTCTCAGTATTTTTCTCCCAGGTTATGAGCAAAACAGAACTCAGCTACGAGCTGAACTTTTAAACCCTCATCTTGGATTAAGTAAGGCAAGCCTCCTCCATCTCCACATGGAAGTAACGTCACAAGGAGAGCCACTTAGCACTTTTAGGCAATGCAGAAAAGGAAAGGTGGATGCTGGGGAGGGGAGGTGCACAAGCAGAAACAGCTCAGGGATAGCCCAGTAACTGAAGCACAAGGTGGACACCAAGGTGTCCAGGTCACCGCGAGGATTTTAGAGCATGACCTTGACCAGCTGTAAGATGAAACTCTTCATGTTGAGCCAAGTTAAAACCTAACAGAGAGAGCAGCAGAGAGCAATGTGCTCAGAGCACCTGGCAGAGCTGGCACACTGACTCGAGGACTTGTGGGTCACAGAAGAGAATCAGAATCGTTTGAGTTGGAGGGGACCTTCAAGGGTCATCTGGTCCAACTGCCCTGCAGTGAACAGGGACGTTTGCAGCTCAGTTGGGTGCTCGGAGCCCTGTGAGCTCCATGTCCTTGCCTTTTTGTGAGCCTATGGGTGCATGGCATAAAGCAAAGCTTCATTCTACAATTTCACTGAATAAAATACGCATTCGATCAAATCTGGGCATGTGGTTAAAATCTTGGTAACGCTGGTTCCTCTTGCTCTGCTTGCAGGACGAATGCCTTAGCTCCAGCTCTCCAGCCCAGGCTCCCACACCCAGCCCGTCTCTGCGCATCACCCCAATCCTGACATTGAACTCACAGCAACCCGGACCGAGAAGACTGCCAAAAAATCTCCAGCTATTCTTCTTCATCCTCACTAACAATTTGGTAATGAAGTATTGATTTCCACTCTCCTGCTTATGGACGATATTAGATTTTCATTGATAAACTGCACTGGGGCTGTCTGGTCTCCACTGTCCCTTTTTGCTGTCACTAAAACAAAGTGCCACTGAAGTAAGATAATGACTGAGAACATTGATGTACTTATTTCGTCAATTTGTAACACTTGACAGGAAAAAAAAAATTCTTCATAGTTTAATGTCCAACTGTTCTACACAAGATGCAGTCACATTGGAAGCTTTACTTTTCATGGTAATGTCCATTTCCTATTTATAACCCCTTTGGGATAGTTTGTCTAAAGGAAATGTTTCTATTCAGTGCAGCTATTACTGTTGCACCTGGGTTGCCCAATCCAGTCATTGCACTAGGGATCAATACATCACAGTAAGTACAAGAATTATTAAGTTAAAACAGATTCTGAGCCAAAAAACCTCTGAACAATGTTAATCTTCTGTGCAAGTTGTTCAAATAGTTACGCTTAACCATGTTGCTGCCAAAGATTTGTTTGAAATGGATTATTGTCAGTTTGTTCTATTCCTCAGATATATATATATATATATTTAAATCTCCGTTACGGTTTATGACGGGACGTGCGATGGAGTGGTTTTTAGAGAGAAGTACTATTGTTAGATTGCTGAGCGTTATGTGAGCGTAGGTATATCTATATATAAATATCACTGTGCACATATCTATATATAGATATAAGATAACACAGTGCAAGTCCTTTCTCAGTTAGGTGCGTGCAAATCCAGATCTCTGAGTCGGAGCCAATGGAGCCCCGTTGGGTTCACGGCCTGCTTGGAGGTCAGGGCTGCCGGCCCGGCCCGGGGGAAGGGCTGAGGATGGCAACTTCAAATCCTAACTTTTTTCATTAAAACTTTGAGCTCCCGATTTTAATTTGTGGAATATTCACGTTAATAATGAGATCTAATTAAGACATCCATTAAAAGCCCGTTAAAGTTAATTTAACGTAAAAATTCCAATAGAACTGTATTAGATTTTCTCCATTAAATTAACGTTATGGATTTTTAACGGATGTCTTAATTATACATTATTATTAACGGGAATACTGTATCACACAGATTAAAATCGGGTCCCGAGTCAACTCACAAGAGCTGGCTGGGTGTGCTGATGCCACCAGCGCGACCCGACGCACTGCCTGCAGAGCCCTGCTTGCTCCAGCCGAGCTTTTCCTGGCAACTGGAGCAACCTGCAGCAGACAAATCCATCTCTGCGTTTAACAATGAGCTTTCCTGAGTCTCAAAGGCAAGATGTGCCTGGATCCAGTTGCAAACCGTTACTCTGTCGCGAATGAAATATTCAAAGTACGCTGGGCACAATTTGAGAATTGGATTTTTCTCATGCAAGAGAGAGGGCTTTGGGCTGTCTTCTACTATTATATTTTAGACATTCAAGGATAAAATTCGAGTGCAGCATTCACAACGTCGGACTGAATGTGTTTACTGTATCCCCCCTTGCTTTTGCGCGTGGGCCTCTTTTGGAGATGTTTGGGAAATTTTGACATGATCCCTAAATTCGACATGGAGGAGAAAAAAAAGGCCCTTCTTATTTACCTCCTAGGGAAAGAGTTGCCCTTATGCCACATATAATAGCAAATTGCTTTTTTTATGGCATGCATAACCTAGATGGGAAAAAATATGGCGCTTGAGGGAAGGAGGGAAAAAGTAAATGAAGTTCCAGGAATGTCATTCTGAAGTAATGAGGCATGGACAGAAAATATACCCCTCACATCATCGGATTGAGATGGCAGTCGAAATAGCTTCATTGAAGTGTCAGCACTCATCCATCAATCAATCATCCACAAGGAAAAATAGCGACAGTACAACGGGGCGGCTTTTATGGGATTTACTCATGGGCATAGGGAATAGCAGCTCAAATGTAGTTCTGACATGAAAAGCAAGGTGCTGATATTATTTTTTATGATGGGAGGATCATAAAGTGAATTGAGAACAGTGAGGTCTGTCTTTGCTTAACCTATTCAACTGGAAATGAACGGAGCTCAACTGGAAACGAGCAGAGCCTTCAGATGGGTTAAGATTGAAGCCTGCGCCGTGCTGAGTGCCGTCCATTGACAACAAAATTCTATTAAAGCAAAATCAATGCATTAGCATCGAGCTCTGCAGAAGCTGTTAAATTGCACAGCCCAGTTCAGAGTTATTAAGTGAAGTTACACAAGGTGAGGGCCCGCAGCACAGACCCAAAAGCAGCGCCGCAATAAAACGCCACCTGGGAGAAACTGCCAGCATGGCTCCATCCCCGCTCCTCTCCTGAGCTTTTGTAGGTGTTAGAACACTGCTGGCCTCATTCTGGCCCTCGATGGATGAAAATCCCACCGACTCCTGCGCCCACTGGTTGGTGTCCTGCAGTTCCGCCGTGACAGAAATGTGACCCGGAGCTGCAGGAGGGCACCCCCAGCCCAAGCATCGGGGCTGTGCAGGGCACCTGCTGCTCACCTTTGGCAGAAGAGAGGTGCTCCCGTGTCTGCAGCAGGCTGTGGTTGTGCTCATGGTGAGGAGGGGGGCCAGCATCCATCACCGCCTCATTTGAGAGGGCTTTCTGGCTGTCAGGGCTGGAAGCACGGTGGATCCGGGGCTGATCCCACCGAGGGAGGGCTGGCTCGCCCCACGCCTTGTTTTGCTCAAGAAGCTTTGCTCTGGCACAGGCAAGTGCAGGGACAGCTACTTCATTTAAAATCTGGCCACAAACCTTTATTACACAGTGCTAAACCTTGATTATTTTGCCTGCATCGCTGTCCTCTGGGAACATTTTATATACACATTTGAATTAAGTGATTATTTTTTTTTTTTACAATAAGATATAAAAAAAGAAAATGTACGTCTCTCCTCTCTCTTTCTCTGTATGAAACTGGAAGAGTTGATAGTTTATCTGTCATATAAATCAGGTAACATAGAAAATCATTGCATCTTTTCTCTGTCGTATCTACTCAATATCTATCGCTCTGACTTTTATTCTTATTGGAGATCATCAAAACATTAATTAAAAGCCTGGTGATCAAACAGCCGAATATTTATGATTCACGTCCTTGCTTATTAACAAGTGGCATATTGATACACCACGTATCCAAGCTGTTTATGCTCTTGCACTGCAATAAAGCAGCAAGAATTGTTACCTCTGTACACTGCTTTGAGAGATTTATTCAGAAACCAGAACTCCCTTCCTGCCCCCATACGTGTCAAAAAAAGCCATATCACCTTAAAAATATATATTTTATTTTAAAAGGGGGAGACAAAATTAGCATCTCTTTGGAACCTAATATATAAGAATTCCAGTGTATCAGTCTCAGGTGTTTTTCCGGGCCTTTATTATTTCAGTTGAGAAGGAGGACACTTAACTTTAAAAATGGCTGTCATTAGTGCAATAATAATTGTCGGTTTAAAAAAATCTTTGAGAATCCACTAACAAACCTACCTAGTAATTACTTGTCAGTGCAACTTCATCATGATTTTTATTACCTACTTGTGAAAGTATTTACAGGACTGACCTCCCGAGCTTTTTTAGAGATCACGGAGGATATAGGAAGTCGTGTTTAAAATCAATAATTATATATTAACACAATAGGGGTTGAGGCCTTCCAAGCCATCTTTGCAGGCTGTGGTGCCTGCTCACACCTCTGCAGGGCAATCGCTGTTTTCCTAAGTTTTAGTCTCAATTCTTTCATCCATCACATTGTGACAAAGCGCCCTGTTTGCCACTGATCCTCTGTGCCCTCTGCCCCTTGGGCAGATCCCCGATGAGGTGTGCAGGCACAGATGGGCTTTGCACAGAAAACAAACAGCAATCTGTGATAGAAGGGCTGAGTACAGAAAAGGCAGGAAAAACAATGGGGTTCGGGGCAGCCCTTGGGTAAGTGCTACCCAGAGGGATTTGCTGTTAGGGTGCTTCTTCCTGCTAATTACCAACGGCCTGACCCTGCCTGCAGTCTGTCCCCAGTGCCAGCTGGCCCTGCGATGAGTCCTGCAGGAAGAAGACACTGCAGCCAAACCCACTGAGGAAATAGATGGCCAAAGGTGGCAGACAGAGGTTTCCATGGACGTTTCTTCCCAGCACAGTGGGGCTCTGCTCAGTGCTTGGGGACAGGCTGGGCTGAGGCCGTGTCCCCATCCCCAATGTAACTCTCCAGCTGGTCCAAGTGTTCCTGCGACGTGGAGGTGGCTCTCTGTCACACAGAGCCTTTGTCTTCTCAAACAGATATACGATGCAATTTATATTTAAAATTCTCTCCATAAAGACAGTATTGATCACAGATTCCCAATCAATACATTGCAATTACAACAGGCTTTAAGGGCCATCTGTCCCCAAGCAAAAGAACTGATATAACCACCTCTATATTTTTTGAAAAACCACTACTGTTGTGTGCCCATCCTCCTGCACATCCCGATGCATCATTTTTGCTCCCAGGAAGAGGTGGTTGGGAGCTGCATAGCTGTAATTCCTCTTGCCTGCCCCACACAAAGTGACAGGGGACAGCTTCTCTTCGGGCTACAAAGTCACTATGGGGTCCATGGCGACTTTGCTGGCTGCTTTTCCTGCTGCCCTCACACGTGAGCCACCTGCTGCCTCTTCCCTTCTTCCCACCCCATCTGCTGTAGGAAATGATCCTCCAGGCATTACTGAATTTCTCTAAAACAAATGACTTTTCAGGAACACTGCTGAACAGTTTCAGTCGGGCACCAGGAGGTACAAACTGAGTCTTTTTTATGTATGACACTCTGGGCCACAGACAGAAACATTGCAGATTTTGTAAGGGATAAAACTACATGCATCTAACGGTAGATTTCAAGTCATGTGTCACCAAATTAAGGAGCTGCTTCATCAGCACCTGAAGCCAACACACTCCTTTCTGTTGATGGCACTGAATAAATACCCACCACAGAAAGAAATGCTGCCTGCAGTTTCCTTTTCCTTCTTTTCTTAAAGCAGTTTCCTGCAGTAATGGCAGCACACCACAAGTACAGAGTGCAGGGTTTTGTTCTCCAAATGTCTTTGGAGGGGAAACGAGGGAATACAAAAGCGGGGACAGCAGAAGCTGCAGTCAGACCTTCGCAAGTGACCGTGTGCCAGGAGCCGTGGTCACATTCTGAATGCAGCTGTGTGGTGTAAATCCAGAGTAACTCCTTCCTTTGGGTTCGGTTTATTCACAAGAGCCAAGCGCAGTCCGAGCAGTCCTCACCTCGGACTCCTCACGTGTTTAGAGGGTTCTGAAAACAGCTTCAGCAAACAGTCTCTGGGTTGGCGCAGATTAAATCTAAGGCACAGTCTGCACTTAGAAGTTGTACAGTTATGTCAGGGAAGTGACTGCAAAAACTTCTTGTCGAGGTGACTACACTGGTAGGAATCCCAGTGTGAAGCCAGTTGTAGCACTAGACAGCAGTGCAGCCCGTGTTGCATTGCTGGACGACTTACAGCAGCAGAAGCACTTCTATCCCAGTACACTTCAGCCTGCGCTTTGGCAGCTCGGTGTTTTTTGGCAAAAATATTAAGAGTAGATAGAAGTTTAAGCTGGCGCTGCTCTTTTTGGTACCAAAGTGTCTGTACAATATTTTCTTGGAGAGTATTTTAAAGATTAAAGCAATGGTACCTCTGGGCCCAACCGCAGTCATAAACCTCCAGTTTGTCCTCACTCACAGCTGATGAAACGGCTTCAGGCCTTTGTAGAAAGCCCTGCTGGACTTCACACGCTCACCCCAAGCAGGTCGGGTGGCTCTGCTGAGGTCACACCACCTAGCTTTCCTCCGAGTAAAGACGACAAATTCTCTCCATAGACATCTCAGATGAGAAAGCAGGAAATAAAGATGGACGTTTTAAAACGCAAATGGAAATAAAACCTCGCTGAGTGCAGCAGCGCAGCCATGGCGCTCCGCCCCGCTGGGTCCCTCCATAGCTGTGCCCACCTGCACTCAGCACCGAGCGAAGCTGCAGATCTCTTCAGGATAGACGAAGCAATGTTTTGGCTTTAGAGCACAGCAAATGCTGGAATGTGCAATACAGGTTGCAAAAGCTGACAAGCTAAACAGTTCTTATTTGGCTCAGGGTACTTAACTGTCGTATGTCTCCGGTACGAGATTCCCTCCCGCCCGGTGCTCAGGCACTCTTATTTGTCCTTTCCTTTCTTAGGGTCTTTTTGGTGTTTTGTTGTTTGTTTGTTTGTTTTTTCTGGAGCATTTGTTTTGTCTTTTATTATCTTGAATACGTCAGCACAAACCGTAAGAGATCCAACCTGGTTTTAAATCAGAGCATAGATGGCCATCATGGTGAACCTCTCAGGTTTGCTGTGCCCCAGTGCTTGCGGTGTGTGGTACGTTCCCTATTGGCAGCATCTTCAGGTTACATACATGACCCGTGGTGTTAGTTCTAGCATTTTGTTTAAAATAATAATAATAAAATGAATCAAGAGCTTATTTCTCTTTAAAAAAGAAGTGTATATATAAAACAAATTGCAAAATGAAAGATTAAAGGCATTTTTTATACGAGCAACGCAAACGGGATTCCTTTCAAGGAGGACTGATGGGGACTTCTGCGTAGAATGTTGCAGTGCTGCTGCACTGATTTTGAGACGAGCGCATGCTGTACAGAATACATTGCCTGCGTCCCTGGGCGGAGGGGCAAGCTGCTCTTCGTGGTGCACTGCAGCTTGTTGGGATGGAAAGTTACACCTTCGATGCATTTTTATACTGTACATATTTGTATATATTAACTATATTGCCATGTTCTGAACACAGATTTTGTTATATCTGCTTGTTTCTGTTTCCTACAAACATTGGTCCATAGCAGGGGATTTTTATTTTTATTTTTTTCTCTAGAAAATATGCTTGTAATTTTTGTTTGTTTCTCTTCTTGGTCGTCACCTTTAATGGCTCAAACAGGAATTAGGGATGGGTTTTTTGGAGGAACTGAGAGAAGCAAGGCTGTGTTTGCATGAGAGCTGCCCAACTGCTGGCTGTACCGGGGGGGTGGGGGGAGAGGGGAAAGCTCACTCAAGTTTTGCTTTTAAAGCATGCTTTGTCCCATGGGAAAACTCATACACGTACAATTATTCTCTTTGTATTTTATCTAATAGTGCCTGAATATTATTTTTTTTTAATGTCTTCTTGGAGGAACTATTCATAATTGTCAAAATTTGAAACATTAGCTTAATTTCGTTTTCATGACCTCTCATTTCTCCCCCTTATTTATTTTGTTGCTGTTTATAATGGGCCCCAAGGCCGTTCCTGACATCGCAGCGTTCCTCTTCCACATTAAGGATGTTTTTAAAATGACTGAGATCGTTGAGCCAACAGGCTGCTTTAATCAAAACCATGTTTCACTCCGTTCCGACGCTACCAGCGGTCGGAGCAGCGCAGTGCTGGAGCACCGTCCCACCTAGCGGTGCAGCTCCGCACAGCGCCCGGCCTGCTGCCAGCGCTGCTTCCGACTGCTTGCTTATTGCCACCGACGTAAACGAAGCAAATTGAAAATGTTAATGATACATATATATTTTTTTTAATATATATCTGGTTGATTGCTCCGTAAATTTGTATAATTTATACGAGAGGAGATTACCGCTTTTATTGTTTTGGGTTCCCCCAGACCGATTATTAACAATCAGGACCACGTATCTCATTAAATTTAAATCAGGGCAAACCTACTGAGCGAAGGCCTTTGCTGATGTGCAGGACGCCTGGATTCCAGCGTGTTTAGGAAGTATTTGTGTGGATGGTTCCCAAGCGTCGGAATCTCCCAATAGTGATTTCGTGTCCTGTATTTTTATCGTGGCAAATGGGTGTTAAAAAAAAAGAATCCCTCAACTTTACCACAGAAAACGTTACTTTTTATGCCCAGGGATTTTTATTTTTATTTTTTTAAGTAAAATCACTGCAGTTTTAGAACTGTAATTAAAGCCCTGAATAATAGATCACACATCTTTATCTGTTGTGTTTAAAAGGAAAAAAAAAATAGCCCAAACTGTTCACATAATCCTGAATGCCTCATTTCCATAAAAAAGGTTTCTATACATATATTATTTACATTTTTAAACATGGTAATTCTTTCCTTTGTGGCATAAAATGTCTCTTTTCCACTGCAGCTATTGGAAAGCGACTGCTCACATCTGAAATGTTATCATAATTTGCATCAGGAAACCCAACTGCAGACATTAAGGACTTGGGTGTGTTCAATTATGATTTTGCTGGAGGCTGTCCCTCATTTTAATGCTGCACTCATTGAACTACCTTTCTGAAATCTAGCTGATACGGTTCACCATAGACATGCTTCACAACATCATTAGCTTTGCAAATGGCTTCATTTCAGTCGATGCAGACTTCAGTTTTGGCCAATTGTAAAATGGAAATTTGAAAAGGAAAAAAACAGATGCACTTAAAACATGAAAAGAATTATTTATATGATAAAAATATATTTAGATTTTCAAAGCACAAGACTGAACAGAAGTGCTCTTTTTATGCTTTCTGAAGATGTTACTGTTAAAAGTCTTTCTACATCAGGCTTAATAAATCTGTAATGACATTTGATGGATTGATTTTTGTGTGGGTTTTTCTTTTCTCTCTTTCTTCCCTCCCTCCCTTCTTTCTGTACGGAGAAGAAAAGGACTGACCTGGAGAGGCAGCGGGAGTGAAAACCACAGGAATGTGCCCGTTTTAGTGCAACTCACCAATGGTGCAGAGCAGCCTCCCTTCCCTTAGATGATAATCTTAAATAAGAAAAAAAAAAGGAAAAGGAAAATCTAGCGACACCATCCTGAGTTTGTTTCTGCACATCCTTCTCCTTCCCTCATCTGGCTCCTCTGACCACTCCATGCCTGGGTTATTTATGATGTAATCTACAGCGAGGCATTGGGCCGCTGTCACACAAATCCAGGGCTCGCCAGCCATAAAGCAGGCATGATTGAGATACCAAATACCCTTCTCTCAACTGCTCCACCTCAGACGGATGGCTCTGTTTAACACTTAGTTTCCCTAAGCACTCCCTTGCTCCCCGTAACGCTCCTCCGACGCGGGCGATGCCTCACACCGCAGCTCCGCAGCTCGCGCCGATGCCGCACGAGCCATCTCCTGTTATTTACTGCAGATGAGGCCAGGCCAGCCGCGGCAGAGACTCCCAAGACTTGCACGCATTAAATTGTGATGGGTACATCATGGGTACATATCACCTGTTGGCTGCGTGCAATTGCCATCGCTCCTCCTTGGGGTGATGAAACAGGAGACGACCTGGAGCCAGCTGTGCGGAGGCAGCGGCACGGCCCCGGGCACTGCTCCTGACCCCAAGCCCTGCTCAGGGATACCCAGCCAGCACCATCCTTCCCTTCCTGCCCAGCCTCCGACCCTCAGCGCTCAGAGCCAAGTACTGCTGCCCCATCACATTCCCATTTGCAGCCCCAAGGCCCATCCTGCACCCAGGCACCAAAGGACGAGGGCCACTCTCCCACTCCTGCCCTCTGGGTCAGTCATTAGCAAGAGCAGTTACGAGCCAGTGCCTCGGATTCTGCAGTATGGGTTGTTGTTGTGATTTTTATTTTTTTTAAAGGAATATACTGCACACATCTCAAGAAACCCCTCTAGGGTAAAATAAAAAAATATATATAGATGGCTAAAATAACAAATGAATCATAAAACTTAGAGATGGAAAAGGACTATTAGATCATCCAATTTATCTTGCTGTCTGCCAATACAGGTTTGTTCCCTGCAGACCGCTCCCCGGGGCTTTGTCTCGCCTTTCTGACTTAACTCCAGCACGCAGGGTCCTCTGCCACTTGCCTTCCTGTGAAGCACAGTTAATGCTTTAGGCATCTTTGATAGGTTTGGGGCCAACTCCTTGCCTGAGGGGAGTCTCACCTGCACGGTGCACTGCCTGCAAATATGTTTACAGCTCCGTGAAGCGCCAGCCCTGCAGGAATGCACCCCAGCTCCCGAACAGCACCCAGCACCCAGCTGCAGGGTGAGCCCACAGGCAACCAGGGGCCAGACCTCGTCCATGCTGGGGGCTGCGCCCCCTGAGCAGGGCAGGGCTCCGTATGCATGGAGACAGCGCTGAGTTATCCTGAGTTTGAACTTGGATCTTTCCTTTTAATTATTGGTGATACGCTCCAACAGAACAAGCAAACAAAATCAACCCTTCAGCTTCTCAGGTGGCTCTTTTGGCTACAGGGCACCTTTGAAAGCTGTTTCAGTGGCTGTTTTTGCTTTCATTTCTGCCGCTCCTTAAAACTGTCTGGATTTAATAAAAGTTAAGCGTTTTCATAGGAGAATCAGGCGAGGTGGTTTGCGATCCTTTTATGTACAACACGTATATTACATTATTCAACAATTCAGGAATAAATTTAATCCCATCTCCCCTTTATTTATATATATATTTATATGCTTTATAACGTAAAGATGGGCTGACAGCGAAGTCCAGGCACCGAGCAGCGCTTGGCCAGCTCCAGCATGCCAGCAGGGGCCACCAGGCCCACAGCCCTTCCAGTGCTACAACCACTGCTGATGGAGCACATGCCTGAGGCAGCCCAGGTTTTGTGTGACACAGGGCAGGCTATGAGCAGGATTTAATGGACACAGCGCTTTTGGGTGGCTGACTATCACTGATCTTTATTTATAAAGCACTCAGCCAGTTACTGAATCTGGCTTTTGCAGTGCGGGTTCAGCAGGCAGTATAATCACTGCTGTGTCCCAAACTGAGCTTTATAATTGCAGAGCCACAAATCACTTGCTATTACAAAAAAAAACCAAACCCTTATTTGTAACAGGACAGTCAAGTACTTCCACTTAGTTCACAGGAACTGAACAGCATTACAAGCGTTGGAGAAGTTTGTTGGCTTGTTCCTCTGCAGTAACTAATGAAATATCGATAGGTCTGCATTACCCTCATCCCAGAATTGACTGTGATTAAATAAGGAAAATGAGCAGCCCCTCAGCTCAGACAAGCAGCAGTACTGCGGGGTTAGGGAAAGGGAAAAGCCAACACTTGATATACAAGTCCATCTGTAAACAATTGTGCTAATGCTTTAAAGATGATCAGCGAAGGCTTTTGGAGTTGAATAGGAAAACAACAGTTCTTGTTGGGAAAGAACTGTTTCAATCTTAAAATAAACTCTGTCAAAGGTCCAAGCCCCACATTTAGTTTCTGCTAAAAGAGAGTTTTACAAGATCCAATTTGAATAGACACGTTGAGCTCAATTACCTTGTAACTTCAAGTATCAGCTGCAGAGGAAGGGAGAAAAGAAATGTAAACATAACAATGAACATCGATCAAAAAGAAACAGAAGTGAAGAAACGCGAAATCTTAGTGAGTCCACCTTTGTTTGAGGCCCAGAGCAAACAAACATGAGCAGCACAGGGGCACCGTGACAGGGCTTCAGTTAGAGGGCGATCTGAAATGTTTACATAAAAAATTGAGGCTGGAAAACGTGATTTATACAGTAAGGATAACTGCAGAGCAGAGCCATTTCTCCTCATTTAACAGAACGCAAAACAGACGTGAAAGTAACTCTCTCTGCTGGCAGAAATGCTTTGGGACTGCATGGAGGTTATGGAAAGAACACAGGAGGAAAAAAATCTGACTTTGGTGAAAGTGTTATTCTGAATTAATTCTAATTTCATTTAGTTGCTCTGACCTTCTATTTTCCTGAACAATTTATGCTCAACTCTGACATTAAAATGTCACTGAGTTTGCTAAAAATTGCTTTATTTAGAAATGTTTTTAATTAACTTTTTGTGCAAAGATCTATACATACATATATAGATCAGAACTCTAAACTGAAATGTCATCACTCCTGACGAAATGAAAACTGTTTTTACAACTTGAAGGGCACTTTCTGCTTTACACCAAAACCATCTCCTGCTTTTCCAGAGCTGCCAGGACAGCAGGCAGCCCGCAGCCATGCAGGTGAGGCTCCTCCTGCCGCCGCTTCCCCAGTTGCAGGAATGAAGTCACACAAGGTTCCTTGCAAGCGATTATTCACAGGATGAAGAATCAGTAATTGCATTAGGTCATTGCATTCATGGAGGATGAATGAAGACATTTCATATGTGCAAAATTAGTTTTAAATGTCAAAGTATTGCACAATTATTAGACCAGATTTGCTCATGAAAATATTTCTATATTAAAGATTCACCCAGACAAATGTCTCAGTGATGTGTACCCTGCTATAAAATGCATCATTTAATTATAAGAGCAGTCAAAAATAATGGTAGCCAGCAGCTAAACTGTGCTCTAAATCTGCTGCATAGAGATCTGCACATTTCAGTAAATATTGATAGGGTGAGAAGAGAAAGTCAGAGACAACACTTACACATCTGCAGATTTTCTTTGGTTCGTCTCATTCATTGGTGAAGTGTGCAGGTGACACTGACACTCGTGCTACATGAACTACTTAAATAGGTCAACATCTTCCTCAGTGTGTGGCATTTTTCAGGGCATCTTCATTTGTTTTATTTCCACCTACTTTTGTGTAACTGCTAATTAATTTAGGAATCCAAAGTAAACTTGTCCTTAGGACACGTAACACTTCCATCCTAGCTGGCTTGTCTGTCTGCTGTCTGAGCTCTCGTTAAGCTTATTTCAGCATCTCCTCCTTGCTAACACTGCCATCTAATGCTCAAACACTGAGCTCTCATGAGGAGGAAACAAGATTGTCTTTCACACATTGTTACCTTAGTCAAAATGCTGTTGAAAGCCATCCCTTCATCCATTCTAGAGCTTCTACCACTGTTAATAAGAACAAGCCAGGGGAGTAATAATGAATGTTTCCAGGAGACACCACCCAGGGTGAAGGGCTCTCATAGAAGGTGCGAGGCCTCTTCCTCTAATGGAAGGTGATGCAGCTTTGGGACTGAGAGCAGAGCAAGAAGTTTACTGGTTTGTTTGCACTGAGCCCCGGCGACGTTAAAGAGCTGGGGATTTTGAAGAGTGAAGAACCTGGAAAGTACATCCTCTTTGGAGAAGCCCAGAACTTTGTCGTAGTAAAAACTTCCTCGTCAAGCAAAAAGTTGACCATCCGTGCCAAAGCAGGCCCAGACTGTTGGCTCGAGATGGGGCCTCTGCACACGCTTCCATCACCAGTTTCAAGGCTTGTGAAGAGTTCGGAGCCGCAGAGCCCAGCTGAGCCTGAGAGCTGATAGCCACAGTACTGAGTATTGCAAACTAGAGCTAGCCTCCACAGAAACAGAAGGGGGAAAACTCCAGAAGGAGCAGTATTATCAAAATCCAGGATTTTCTGTTCCACACTTTGGTTCTTTCAGTTCTGGACCAAGCAGGACTGAAATATATTTTGCTTTCATATTCAACACATGCAGAACAAATGTGAAGCTGATGCACCTGTGCTAAAAGATACAGCTCACTGATAGTAAGTACAGTAATAAACCTGAGAAGAAGTGATGAGGGAAGATACCACAGCCTTACATTTCTCTCTTTAAATGAAGAGATGCTGTACTTCTGAGTCTGCGATCAGAACAGGATCAGTGTGGCAGTCTAAAAAAGCATTAAGGACAAAATATCTTGTTGTGTAATACCATCCCCA